ACACGGTTGGGGATGAGTATATAGGTACTCATAGTCCTTGGAAGGGACAAAGTACTTCCTTTCCACCCCTCTGGCTGTGGGTGGAATAGAGGCAGGGGTTTGCCATATTGTAGTAGCATTAGCCTGAATCGTACGTATGAGAGGTAATGCCACCCTGGATGGGGCATCAGCCAAGAGGATGCTCACCACCGGGTCCTGTACCTCTACTATCTCCTCTGCCTGGAGATCCATATTACGCGCCACCCTACGTAATAGGTCCTGGTGGGCACGAAGATCTATCGGGGGCGGACCTGTGGCGGTTGTGCCCGCCACCGCCTCATCTGGGGAAGATGAGAGGATGCCTCAGGTGGCAAGGGGTCTAATGGCGGGTCCTGCTCCAGGGGTCCCTGAAGCTGGGCATCGCCTGCCCCTGGGTCCAGTGCCTCAGGTGGTGTAGGCACGGGAGCCTCCATGCCCCCTGGGGGAGGGCGGGAGATAGTGGCCTCCGGGACCCTGGGCTCAGAACGTGCCGAGCGAGAGGCTGATGGTGGAGCCCCCTGCGCCTGGTGATAGGCCCACGGGGTCCAGAACGACCAATGCACAGGTCCCTGTGCAGGGTCCTCGGCCACCTCCTGCCAGTGGCCCAAGTCAGCCGTAGCAGCCTGACCCTGAGGAGGGTATGCCGATCTGGAGGCCCCATCGGAGGAACGAGATGCCGATCTCGAGGGCCAAGGCGGTGCCGAACGTGTCGAAACCGGCTCCGGATGGTACGGTGCCGAGCGGTGCCGGTCGTAAGGTGATCGGTCCCTGCGCGGTGCCGGTGAGCAGTACCGGGATCGGGACCGGTGCCGGTAGCCATGCCGGTGCCGAGATCCGAATCTTGACCGAGACGACGACCGCGACGAGACCTGGTACCGGGAGCGGCCCCTCGAACTCGAGCGACGCTCATACCGGTGCCGAGAACTACGTCTGGAGTCCGATCGGTACCGATGATCGTGACGGTGCCGAGACGTAGAGCGGTGCCGCGAAGAAGATCTTGGCCGCGAGTACGACCGGTGCCGAGGCGATAGTCGGCGCCGGGACTGCAAGCGGCGTCGGGACCTGCTCCGAGACCTGGAGCGGTGCCGGGAGTCCACGGCCGGAGACGGCGGGCGCACCAGGGCAGGCTTGCCCCTGGATTGTACTGTGCGGGGAGCCAACGGTGCCGGAGGTAGAGGCGGTGCCGGCTCCGTGAGAGCAATAAGGTCTCTCGCCGTCGCAAAGGTCTCCGGGGTGGAAGGAAGACAAGGCTCCACCACCGACCGAGGTGGTGATTCAGTCCGCACCGGACTCAACGGCCGCGGTGCCGGAGTCGACGGTGTAGCAGGCACTTGCTTCTGGCGGTCCAAAGGCGGACGCGGCTCTACCCCCGGCACCGGGGGAGCCAGCGTCTTCAGGACAGCAGTCTCCTGCGCCTTACGGGACTTCTTGTGCCCCGGAGACAGGGACCGGCGCCGAGGCCCCTGTGGCGGGCGCGGTGCCAAAGGAGGCCGGTGCCGTGAGGGCTTGTCCGATTCAGCCCGCGGTGCAGTACCGGTCGGTGCCGCAGGGGCGCTGCGCACCGAGGCGCTCGGTGCCGGGGCTGGGCGCGCCGAGGGAGGATCCGGGCTAAGTGCCGCCTCCATGAGGAGCTGCCTAAGCCTAAAGTCCCGCTCCTTTTTGGTTCTTGGTTTGAAGGCCCTACAGATCTGACACTTATCTGTCTGATGGGACTCTCCGAGGCACTTCAGACACGAGTCGTGCGGATCACTCGTAGGCATAGGCTTAGCGCAGGACGCGCACGGCTTAAAGCCAGGAGCCTTGGGCATGAGCCCGGCTATGCGCCGGGGGGAAAAGGGGGGAGAACAACCCCCTTAACCCCCGCTAACTATTTACAACTATTAAAAACTAAAATGAATAACTATCTAAAGACTATACAACAACTATAACTACAACTATCTACAAGAATTGACAGAATAAGCTAGGGAGAGTGGAGAACAGCTATGCCGCGCTCCACAGTTCCAACGACCGTCAGGGGCGGTAAGAAGGAACTGAGGGGGCGCTGGGTCGGCTGGGGTATATATCCAGCGCCATGAAGGCGCCACTCCAGGGGGCTCCACAGCCGACCCACCGGGTGTTGCTAGGGTAGAAAATTCTCCGACGATCGTGCACGTGGCGCGCGCACACCTAATTGGAATCAATATGAGCAAGCACTCGAAGAAGAACCTTAGTTTCAGCAAAACTAAGCAATGACATGTTAGTAGTTAATTAACACAATAAAAACTTATTTGTTCAAAAAGTGTGAATGATAAATTATTTAGGTTTAAATACTTGAATGAAAGTTATGTACTGGTTAAAAACAATTTGCACTCAGATATAGTGCAAAATTGTCTTTTCATTACAGGACAAATGGCAAACAGATGCAGAACTATTTACTTTTCCTATTCCTTCATTCTAGGTACATTATAGGACAATTCCAGCTGACTGGAGGACAATAATTCTGATTTAGGGCAACTTGTGAGGTATCAAAATTTGTTTTTGCAAAAATGGATTTGTATCAAAATGTCTATTTTCAGATCAAACCCTGAGCTTTTTCATCCACGAGGAGAGAAAGAAAGAGTCCATGTGAGAGAGTGTTTGTGCCTATCCTGGTGACTATGGCAGAAGCCTGGGATGTGAGAGACCCAGGTTCAAGTCCCTGCTTCGTCTGATTCCCAGTGATCTTAGATGAAAAAACTCTGTTCTCAATCAGGCAGAACAGGGACATGAACCTGGGTCTCCCACATCCCAGGCCAGTGCCATAATCACCAGGTTACAGGGAATCTCCCTCTCTACTGGGCAAAAATGTTGTTGAAGTTGATGCATCTCAGTGACATGTTTCAGCTTTGATAAAGTTTCTTTTAGTTGAAAATATTCCAACCAGCTATAGTTCCAGTACTTATACAGTAGCAAAAAGAATAGCAAGACATTAGTAAGGCTGGCATGCATGGGATCAATATAAAATGAACTTCTATGAAGGTCTGAAAAATACACCTAAATATAAGAGGTCTAGCTGTAGGTTCCCACTCCGTTATCCATGTATATCACTGCCCAGACAACATGATTAGCTTGGACTTCTTCAGTATCAGAATAAAAACTACAAAGATTCAATAAGAGAAATAAGCAAACTTCATTTAACAGTTCACATCAACACATTTAAATATTTTTGTGGGCCAATATAAGAGGGGCAATGGACCTAATATATCTGGACTGTCCAGGAGAGGGTTGAACAGTTCAGGACAGGGAGTGTGTTGGGGTCACCCTGCATGTGGTAACCCAGGCTGGTGGAAGCCAGAATGTGACTGGAGCTTTGCTAACAGGCTGCAGCTATACACAATCACTCAGGGTATTATCTGTATGCTGTTTGGCTGTTTCTGAGCAGCCCCGGTGGGAGCTACAACAGCAAAGCATTGTTAGGCATCCTAGGTTGCAGGGCAGGGGTGACACAGCCGCTCACTTGTCTGGATTGCATCCTGAAATATCACGGGATCGTGCAGTTGAAGACTGTATCATAACACATACTCACAAGACGGCCAAATTAAGGTTACATGGGCAATCTCAATTCTGGTATTTCCTAACTTTTTGAGTAGTGGACTTTGTAACCTCAACATTATTTTAATATAGTTTAGTGTGTGTAACATAAGGTCAAACGGGGAGTACAATATGTAGGATGTTGATATAACACACCATTTTGAGACCGTGTGCTTCCACTGTTAGGGAGAAAGCTAAACTTCCTTCCCTCCACGGTGTTCCCCCCACGTAGTAAAAGGCACAGGTATATCGGTAGTAACTGGTGCAGTAGAAGGCACAGGTATATCTGTAGTAATTCATTAAGTATTAGCATAAGTCACAAAATTACAAGACGTATTAACAGAAATATAATTATGTGAAACATAATCTTTCAATCCTGTTATCAAGATGCTTGCAATTTTCATTTCCTGAAACATTGAGCAAATCAAGTGATTCTGTATCTAGACTAATCCCAATTGAACTCTTTTTTCCCATTACATTATTAGCTGTGACTCACAGGACCTTGTCAACACCTGTTTTAATTATTATAGTGGTGCAGTAGCACCACTATAATTAAGGTTATGTCATGACTTTGGTCTAAAGAGCGACCTTCTAAGGCCTCTTAAATTGGCATGCTTACTCAGATTCCTTTGAAATGTGGTGTGCTTTAGAAGGGTGAAGAATTGGCTTAGTGACTCAATTTGGGGTCATTTAAGTCAGAGATTGTGGAGATGTAAATGCCCCAAAACAGCCATTTTTCAAAAAGTTTCTACATTTTGTGTCTATTTATTTTTGGCTCAGAGCTACAGATAAAACTATTGATGTAATGTGGGTCTCAGTCTGTTGAATTTTACCCAAGGTGGTGCATGATATTCACTAAATCTTTGGGAGACCCAAACTGAGAACAGTATTTAAGAATATGTACATTTTTACAGTGCACATGTGCCAGTAAATAAAAACAGCTAGCGGGTTTCCATTGCCGCCATTTTATAGAGGACCATGGCTTGCTAGTTAACTTTAGAGCAGCCTCCAGATTGATCTAACATGCCCCAGAGTTGGGGTGATGTTCAAGGTAACTAGCTCAAATAATTCGAACAGTTTGAATTTTCATTTACACAATCCATGGTGGCTTATTCCTAACATATTCTGTTCACATATGAATTCTATAGCTATCTTTAATGATTTTAGTTTACCTAGTGCTCAAATAAGGTTCACTGTTCTGGAATTCCCAGGATTACTTCAAACTTTCTTAAGATAGGCACCCTATTGGTAGTTTTTATTAATTATTTATTATTATAGTATTGTTATTATAGTTTTTGAAATCAATTTAGACTTGGTTCATAAACTAGTGAACTTCTTTGTCCCGCATCGGGCTTTCACAATATGAATGAAGTTATCCCCACATTGCCGATGCTTCTCCCCTCAAAAAAACAAAAGTATTAAAAACAACGTACCTTTATTCTATGAAATCGAACAATATCTCCAATTTTGTAGATTTTTGGAAGGGCATCTAGATTTCCATTAAAAAGTGTGCATGTTAATTTCACATTTGATTGGTCCACAATTGTTACAACTGAACAATAATCTGTAAAATATAAAAAATAATGTATAATAGGACTTAACATTTTAGTATTCATATATTCATATTTGGATTAACACATAAATCAAGGGAGTAATGCTAACAAATAAGAAAATCCGTCCCATCATATGCTACGTAAACTGTCAGAATAGCTGAAAACGAGTATGGTAGCTTGCGCAAAGAGCTCTGAGTCAGAAACTCCCACGTTCTATTCTTTGTTCTGCCATGGGCCCACTATAGGGTTTGGGGAATGTTACATCTTCACAAGTCTTGGTTTCCTCATCTGTAAAATGGGGGAAATAGCTATTAATCTCACAGAGCTGTGAGAATGATAGTGTTTGCACTGTACTTTAAGAGATAAAGAGCTGTGGAAGTTTTAAGAGTAAATTAAAACATTAATTACCACCCCACATGCAGACATAAGAAAAAAGGTTGCAGGCACATATCAGTAGTTTGAAAGTTTATTGCCTTTCAAGTTGTTGTTTTATATAGTTTTGGGAGGCAGGCGTTAAGAGACCCAGGAAATGGCATTGCAATTCCACAACAAGCCACAAGGTCAAACTCCAAAGACGATATGGCCTTTATTCTGCCTCACTAGAACTGTAACAGTGTATTATGTATGTTACAGACTTCCCTAAACAGAAATGTAAAAGTATGTGCTCAGTTGAACATCTTTAAGTGAGAAATCTGTAAGGAAGTAATGATGAAATTGTTGTCTTGAATTAAGGCGTTAGATGCCTAACTTGCTTGGTTGCTTTTGAAAATACCACTAGGACATCAGTAATTTTTAAATAGGTAATAAACAGAGAAATTGCCTCATAGTCTATTTCTATGTTGATATATGACTTAGCCAGGCATTTATGTATGCAAAACTTGGTTTTGAAAATGGCTTTAATAATGTACAGCAAGACCCATAAGAAAAGCATATAATTATATGCAATGCATGAACTAACAATACACAATGCTTCCATTTTTGAAGTACTGACTCCTGAAAAGGGGAAAGTGAGCATTGGCTTTGTATGTGAAGGTTGCTGTCCCTAAGTGCACAGGACCAGAATGTACAAAAGTAGCATTCTTAGGAGAGAAGAAATTGAATTCTTACATTTTAAATTTCTTACATCTTAGGAGTGAAGAAACTGAATTCTTACATTTTAAAATTGTATTTCTACACACCAGTACATAAAAGTGGGCCTACTTGCCCATTAGTGATTTTTTTCCCCCAGCCCTCCTTTCATTAGTTACTTTGAAAACTTTAGTTGCCATTTATACTGAGTGTGCCATTTACAGTGGGGCTGAAAATGTTTGCTGGAGAAGTGCACTGAAACATTTTATGCTTTCAGACTTGAAGGCACCAAGAGTTTTTGGGTTAATTCGTGCTGCTAAGTATTGTGCAAAGTAAGGCCATGTCTATGCTTGGAGTGCTTTACTGGTATAAATGTAACAGTATACCGTACCGGCAAAGCAGTCTTCACTGGATACAGCTTATGCCTGTAAAATTATGCTTTTACTGGGGTAACTTATTACACACCCCTTTCCCTGCAATAGCGTGAGACAAGCTATGGCGGTAAAAGCACAGTTTTGCTGATATAACTGTGTCTACACTAGGGGCTTTTGTGAGCACAGCTATGTTGGTCACAAATTACACCGATCACATCCCTGACTGACATAGCTATGCCTTCAGAATCTGTGGTATAGTCATGACCAAAGCAAAAGGTTAAAATCAGCAGTTCTGAATTGCCTGAGATGCAGAAATCCAATCTAATTTTTACTCAAGTTTTTCCTTTTGCAAAATCTCACTTTCAAATACAATGTAAATGTTATTATATTGGTAAAGTGCTAACTTGAGGAGTAAAAAGTTCAGATTTACAGGCTGGAAACAGAAATCTTTCCCCTTTTGCCTACATCTCAGTACCTCAGTTTTATTTTGTGTACTGGCAGCAACCATATCTAGACTCCTGAGCTCAATCAGAAATGGTTGTAGTACTTAAGATGTCAAGATTTATATAATCCCCTTGCAGCCCTTACTCAGAAGTTAAGAAACACTGCTTAAGCCATTAGAAAGTTGTCTAGGTTATTTAATTGCGATTAATCACGCTGTTGAACAATAACAGAATATCATTTATTTAAATATTTTTGGATGTTTTCTACATTTTCAAATATATTGATTTCAATTACAACACAATACAAAGTGTACAATGCTCACTTTATATTTATTTTTGCTTACAAATATTTGCCCTGTAAAAAACAAAAGAAATAGTATTTTTCAATTCACCTAATCTCTTTATCATGAAAGTTGAACTTACAAATGTAGAATTATGTACAAAAAAACCTGCATTCAAAAATAAAACAATGTAAAACTTTAGAAGTCCAATCAGTCCTACTTCTTGTTCAGCCAATCGCTCAGACAAACAAGTTTCTTTACATTTGCAGGAGATAATACTGCCCGCTTCTTATTTACAATGTCATCTGAAAGTGAGAACAGGCATTTGCATGGCACTGCTGTAGCCAGCATCGCAAGATATTTATGTGCCACATGTGCTAAAGATTCATATGCCCCTTGATGCTTCAACCACCATTCCAGAGGATATGCGTCCATGCTGTGACGGGTTCTGCTCAATAACAATCCAAAGCAGTGCGGACCAACATGTTCATTTTCATCATCTGAGTCAGATGCCACCAGCAGAAGGTTGATTTTCTTTTTTGGTGGTTCGGGTTATGTAGTTTCCGCATCGGAGTGTTGCTCTTTTAGGACTTCATGCTCTTCATGCTTAGGAAAAGCATGCTCCACACCTCATCCCTCTCAGATTTTGGAAGGCACTTCAGATTCTTAAATCTTGGTCGAGTGCTGTAGCTAGCTTTAGAAAATTCACATTGGTATCTTCTTTGCATTTTGTCAAATTTGCATTGAAAGAGTTCTTAAAACGAACAACATGTGCTGGGTCATCCTCCGAGACTGCTATAACATGAAATATATGTCAGAATGCAGGTAAAACAGAGCAGGAGACATACAATTCTCCCCCAAGGAGTTTAGTCACAAATTTCATTAACGCATTATTTTTTTAACAAGCGTCATCAGCATGGAAGCATGTCCTCTGGAACAATGGCCAAAGCATGAAGAGACAGATGAGCCTTTAGTGCATCTGGCACATAAATATATTGCGACGCCTGCTACAATAGTGCTATGCGAATGCCTGTTCTCACTTTCAGGTGACACTGAAATTAAGAAGTGGGCAATACTATCTCCCGTAAATGTAAACAAACTTGTTTCTCTTAGCGATTGGTTGAAAAAAAAGTAGGACTGAGTGAACTTATAGGCTCTAAAGTTTTACATTGTTTTGTTGTTGAGTACAGTTATGTAAAAAACAACAACCTACATTTGTAAGTTGCACTTTCATGATAAAGAGATTGCACTACAGTACTTGTATGAAGTGAATTGAAAAATACTATTTCTTTTATCATTTTACAGTGCAAATATCTGTAATAAAAAGAATATAAAGTGTACACTTTGTATTCTGTGTTGTAATTGAAATTGATTCATTTGAAAATGAAGAAAAGCATACAAAATATTTAATAAATTTAAATTGGTATTCTATTAACAGTGCAATTATTTTTTTAATCGCAATTAAATTTTGAGTTAATCGTGATTAATCGACAGCCCTAATACACACACACACACACACACACACACACACACACATATTTTCTTTTCCAAATAAAACAAATATACCAAAATACAAGATTCATCATAATACATAAAGTAAGTAAAGAGGGTTAGGATAAAGGGAAGGGAAATGACATATATATGTTCAGGGACTACATTAATCATCGACCTCTAAAAAAATCAATCCAAATTGTTTTGAATTTTTCAGGTATTCCCCTTCTGCAGAATGCCAGTCATTTGTTAGCTGCCAGGTCAGCCATATCACTGAGCCAGGCATCAATGTTTGGTGGGGACTGACTTTTCCATTTTTGTTTTAGCAACCAAACCATACACATTGGAACCACTCCACCTTATTACCAGGAAACTTCCAGGTATCAGGAATATATCCAAGAATAAAACTTAAGGGGGAGGGCTCCAATTTAGCATCCAAAAAATCAAATTAGTCATTTGACCTACCTCAGACCAGAAATTCTTGCTGGAGGGCACCCCCAAAAATATATGAGGTAATGCAGCACCAATGGAGTTTCACTTCCAACAGCGGTCAGCAGTTACGAGGCCCATTACAATTAGATTATGTGGGGACCAGTATATTCAAAAAAGTGTCTTTTGGTGAATAAGCCATAGTCTCAAGTCTTCAGTTGCTTTTTTAACATTAGATACAATGGTATTACATTACAGAGATAGTTGCATATCCAAGTCTCTATTCCAAGCAACTCTCAAATTATCTTTCTTTGGCAGAGTTTTTTGCACCAGAAAATCATTAAAGGCTGAGTAAATCCAGGAAGTTTCCTCCAAAATAATAAAATGTTATGGAGGTTCTGGAGCTTCCAATGCATCTGGTCTAATAATTTGCTCTGATATTATTGCCGCTTCAAAAGATTCTAAAGAACCCTTCACTGTATTTTTTTTTTAGATGCCAAAAAAGCCTTTGACCACATAGCATGGGACAATCTTTTTGAAGTATTAGCAAAATTTGGATTTGGTAGCCAATTTGTTGCTTAGATTAAGTTTAGATACTCTAATCTGACTTCCAGCGTAGTTACCAACAATATTATTTTTGCCCATTTGCATTATAGGGAGGAATAAGGCAGGCCTGCCCTTTTTCTCCTCTTCTCTTTGATTTAGCTTTAAAATCTTCATATATACTGATATACTGGCACTAGAAAAGGTTCAGAGAAGGGCAACTAAAATGATTAGGGGTTTGGAGGGTTTGGAGAGGGTCCCATATGAGAGAGATTAAAGAGGCTAGGACTTTTCAGCTTGGAAAAGAGGAGACTAAGGGGGGTTATGATAGAGGTATATAAAATTATGAGTGATGTGGAGAAAGTAGATAAGGAAAAGTTAT